CGCCGGCCAGGCCTCCGCGGGGAGCGCGGGCTCGCGGGCCGGGGTGCACGCCGCGCGGGGCTGCCTTCTAACCAGACTCTCCGCTTCAGATTTCAGGTACTCGGACTCCACCTTCACTTTCACCTATGTCGGCGGCCCCAGAAGGTATTTGTGCGGAGAGTCGCCGCGTTTCCTGTGCACACGCTTGTGTTTCCTTTGTTCTGCGCTTGTTCCCGGTTTGGGCATTTTGTTTGCTTGTTTGTGGAATTACTGCTGCCGTTCTCCGGACGCATCCCAAGCCCGGAGTCCCTCGGTTTCAGAGAGTCGGTGGGTGGGGTAAATAGGTTTGATTGAGGTGTTTGTAAAATCACGCTGCAGGCAAAGAGCGGAACTCTGCGTGTTAGAACTGTTCTGCTCCAGTCGTGGATTGCTCTTGAGGCCGGCTGGGGTTGATCCCGGCAACCGGGTGCAAAGCGGAGCTGCTAGGTACGGAGTGAGATGCATGGGACATAAAATGTCACAAAATAGTTTGCTCACAAGTGATGATTTTCCTGGTGAGCTGGGGCTGCACGTTTCCATGTTTTCTGAAGGTTGACATAAACATACCGTCTGCCAGTTCTTCAGATAGCTTTTTTTTTCCTCCCAAGGACTGGTATTTTGGTTTTCACAGTTAGTTGTAGGAAAGAATTTGGAGTTACATGTAGCTGGAGTGGATGACTTCTTTCTCTTGGGGGAAGGATGAGCGATGCGTATGTTCATAGCAGATTGCCAACAATTTGAAACAAGCTCAAATCTAATTTTGTATTGAGGAAGCGGAGATAAAATATGCCTGTATTTTACCTCTTCATTAATGTTGTCTTCATTTGTGAAGTTAGGATTTTCGTCCTTTTAGCCCTTCAGGGAAAGAGTGGTTGAAAAGAGCAGTGGCCACCCATGAGAACAGTCAACCTCCAGAGACGCCTCAGCCCGGCCCTCTATTAGGAGTTGACATTCAATATGGTTTGACCACATTCCGAAACATCTCTCAGCTGATGGGAACAGCTACCAACATGTAAATCGCGAAAGAAGCTCCCTTCTGTGAAAGCTTTTTAAAAAGCTTGGTGTGGATGTGAGCCTATAAAACACTAAGGATCTGTATTACATTCTGTGTCCCAAAATTGGCTTGAATTCGCATACTTACTAGGTTTCCCACATCTGGGGTATTCCTGAGCCCCAGGATTCATACATTATTGATGTACTGGTTGAAAAAAGTGAACCACCCAAGTTCCACCTATACTTTTTGGGAGTGAATATAGTTACATTATCTTCTAATTTACAAGTGTACCGTCATCTTGGTAATTACGGACGAAATTAAATTAGAGGATATTTGATTAAATTAACACTGCTCTCACTCTTAATATCCAAAGGACCTCAGTACCGTATGACTAATGTCCTCTTTGATCACTTCAGCAGTTCAGATATGCTGTGTGTCCCATTGAAAACATCCCACACAAGCAGGCGACCATGTGCTGAGCTGTGTGTTGTGGCGGGTTTTGCTGTTCTGGTGGGACTGCGTGGACAGGAGCACCCGGAGGGGGCTTTCCAACTAACTGGGTTTCAGATTTCTTTCTCGAAGATACCTCAGTTCTTTTGGTTTCAGCTTATCGGTAAAAGGAGGGGTAACACCATGCACTTAATCCAAGCTCTGTTAGGAGCTGCAGTGAAGATTTGTTAGCAGCACATTATTGTGTGGCTGTGAATGTCCCACAGCTAGAGGTGCAGAAGGTATGAAGGCCTCCAGGAGCCAGGCCAGGGTGTTGGGATGAATAATTAACTAATCAAGATAACATCGGTTTTCACCGTAGGAGCAAACACCTTGGTTGCTCTTAACGTAAATGTTGCCTTTTCTGTGTAATCCTGTTAAGGGTAGTGTTTGTCTTCTGTTCCTGATTTAAGTACCTGGGCCTTGTACACCTAATACAGAACAGTCTGTAGAAAGAGAACACCTGGTAAAATTGTACGGGTGCTTTGTCTTCTCAAAAGCTTGCTCTGAGATACACAAGAAAAGTTGCTTGGGTGTAGGACAGAAGATAATCCCCTCTGCCCTTGTTTGCAGCCTGGGCTACACTCCCAGCCCCCTTTTAGAGTTTTATTTGGAGACAGGGTCTTGCTGAATTACCCAGGCTGGGCTTGGACTTGCAGTCTTCCTACCTTAGCCTCCTAGAGCCCGGGTGTGAGCCCTGCGCCAGGCTCAGAAAATAATCCTGTCTTTGTTTTCACCTGAGGGTGGAGGGGGTCTGCTTTTCCTGCAGATAAAAACATATATTTTTGTTTTGGTGGTACTGCATGGTACTGGGTGGTATTGAACCCAAGGCCTTCACACTGAGTTTCATCCACTGCCTCCCCCTGCCCAAATTTGAGCTGGCTGAATTGCCCAGGCTGGACTCAAATTTGTGCCCCATTCAACCATATTTGGCTGGATGTGAGCATCTTATGAACTACACAGTTATCTCTTTTGTTTTGTTTTGGTTTTTGTTTTTTTTGAGATGGGGTCTCACTATGCAGTTCAGGCTGGCCTTCAACTAGATGTGTAGCCCAGGTTGGCCTCCAACTCGAGGCAATCCTCCAGCCTCAGCCTAGGGTTACGGGCATGAGCCACCATGCCCTGCTGTGCACGATTATTTTGAAGTGTATTTAACTATCATTTCATCTGAACCATGGAGAATATACATTAAAAATAATTTTCAGTTCAAGTTGTGGATAAAAGCATTTCTTCTCTTTCTGTGAATTATATGTTATTCTAAAGTTAAGGGTTATCCTGGCGTGGTAGCACATGCCTGTAATTCTAGCACTCAGGAGGCTGAGGCAGGAGGATTGCTTCAAGTTCGAGGCCAGCCTGGGCTGTATGGTGAATTCAAGACCACCCTGAGCTGCACAGTGAGATCCTGTCTCAAAAAACCCTAAAAAACAAAAAAAAAACCCGCAAAAGAAAAAAAAAAAGCTAAAAGTCAATCTTTCATATTATTTTTCTTTTCTTTCTTTCTTTTCTTTTGTCTTTTTGGGACAGGGTCTCTCTATGCAGTTCCAGCTGGCCTTGAGCTCACTTTGTAGCCCAGGCTGACCTCAAACTCCCAGCGATCCTCCTGCCTCAGCCTACCGAGTGCTGGCATTACAGGTGTGCGCTACCATGCCCGGCATATTCCTTTTCAAAAAAGAGAAAAGTAACTGAGCCATTTTACTTTTTCCATGTTATGTTTCTGTGGACAAGAAGCAATGCCAAGAGCCGACTGAGTCCAAGCTGGCTGGTGGCCTGAGAGATGGGGCGTTTAGTTGATGGCACTTGGGGAAGCAGAGTGCAGTTAGCATCTGCTGCCCCACCACAGTGGGCTTCCAGTGCACAGTGACGGGAAAGAGGGTCCAGGAAGACCGAGTCCTGACTGTCCCTGGGTGGCCAGGTAACGGAACTACTGTTACCCCTCTTTCGGGAGCGGAAAGGAAGCCCAGAGCGCTCCCGACGTGGGGTCAGCTTCCTCAGCCACAGCTGAGCTGTGAGGCCCACGCTGTGCACGCCTCAGACCCCTTTGAGCATGGAGGCGCCATCCAAGAAGTGATGCAGACTAAGTGGAGTCGGTGCTTGTTTGTGGCAGCACTGACGTCCAACGAGGGTCGCGTGCGTAGGAGGCACCTGCTCTGCCCCTGAGTTAGAGCCCCAGTCTTGTGACCATTGTAACTTTAGTGTCTGTTGATTGACATAGAGCTCTGAGCTTTTGAAGACGCACCAGTGAGTGTGGTGGTGCAGCGCCCTCCAGGCTTAGGCAGGCTGGTTGTGAGTTCGCGGCCGGCCCAGGCTGCATAGTGAGATGGTCTCAACAAAACCAAGCCACAACAACAAAAAATCATTGCTTGCAAAAATATCAGAAAAAGACGTGCCAAAAATAAGATTAAAAAAAGCCTCATAGATTCCCTGCATTTTTTTTTGTCTTTTATTAACATATTGAGAGTTTATGCCTTTCCTTTTTTTTTGTAGTCCTGGGGATGGAACCAAGGGCTTTCCTACTTAGCTGGGTCCCCACTCCTTTTTAGTTTTTCTTTTGAAACAGGGTCTCCCCGGGTTTCTAAGTTGCTCAGGCTGGGCGAGAACCCTTGATCCTCCTGCCTCAGCCTCTGAGAGTGCTGTGTGACGGCACCGCATCTGGTGCTTTCAGAACTTTTATGAGTGTATTTTTTTTTTTTTTTTTTTTTTTTTGGTTTTTCTCCGGTACCGGGAACCGAACTCACGACCTTGCGCTTGCCAGGCAGGCACTGTGCCGCTGAGCTAAATCCCCAGCCCCTTATGAGTGTATTTGTTTATGTGTATGTATCCAAGAGCTGTACTACTCTTTCTAGACCTTACTTTTCTCACCCAAGAATATAATTTTGATGTTTTTCCTTTAGAAAGGCTATGAGAATGAAGAACTTTTTATTAAGTTGAGAGTTTCCCCATGAAGGAATATGACTGCATCATAAGAATTCTGACATTTCTGTTAGAAATTACTGTAGCCGGTGTGATAGAGCACACCTGTAATCCCAGCACGCGGAAGGCAGAGGCAGGAGGATTGCTGCAAGTCTGAGGCCAGCGTGCACTACACAGTGAGACTCTGTTTCAAACAGACAAACAAACACAGGCACCAAAAAAAGAAATTACTATAAAGTTTGAAATGCAGTGTTTGGCAGAGCGTTTGGGATCGTGTGTCTGTGTACAGTGTTATATGAGCAGACAGTTCTCACGGGACCCTCGTAGATGGCATCTTGTGAAGTATTTCCTCTCTGTCCAGGTAAATGCTTCAGAGCATCTGGTGTGACAGTAACAACAGCATTCCCAAACTCCTAAAAGCGCATGGGCCCGCCTCCTTTGCCTGGGGTCTCTCCCCATTCTGCCTGGATCCCTACCCCTCCATACTCTCCCCTGTCCTGTCCCATTTCTCTCCAAAGTCTTGGCTAAACTAGACTCTCTTCTGAGGTGGACTTTTTTTTTTTTGGCTTTTTGAGACAGGGTTTCACTATGCAGTTCAGGCTGGCCTTGAACTCACTTTGTAGCCCAGGTGGGCCTTGAACTCACAGTGATCCTCCTGCCTCAGCCTCCTGAGTGCTGGGATTACAGGAGTGCACCTCCACACCCAGCTTGCGGTGTCTTTCTCAATAGCCTG